TACCTCTTCCATAAGGTTGGGCGCAGAGTGGCAGTCTGGATGGCGTCAGTCTCACATTTCTCCATGAAAATGTTAGCTATAACCGGAGATAGGGGGGAGCTCATTGGGGTGCCCTCAGTTTGTTTGTAGAAAGTTCCATTCCAAGTGAAGTATGTATTGGTTAAACAGTGTCTCACCAGGGGGGGTACCTCAGTGTTTAGTCCTTGATGAACCAAGTCTTCAATGATTACGATGGTGTCAGGTAGAGTAACCTTGGTGAATAAGGAAACTACATCAAAACTGTCAAGCAGGTTGTCTGGGGACAGGGAAATACCCTTGATTGTCGATACCAGGTGAGTAGAATTTTGTACCGCAGAGGTGTTTTTTCCAGTGAAAGGACGCAGTGAACTCAAGCACGTACACCAAGCTCTTAAGGCTAATGGTTACTCCGACTATACAACCCGCAAAGCTATCACTCAAACCATGAAGGACCCTCTTGAGGAGCCTTTCAAAACCATCACTTTACCCTACATTGCGGGGATCACAAAAAATATCTCCAAAATCTTGAAAAAACACAAGATCCAGGTCCGTTTCAACACATTACATAAAATCCGTGATCTGGTTCCGTCTGTAAAAGATGTGATTCCGGACATACAGTACCCTGGTGTCTACGAACTAAGTTGCCTCTGTGGTAGTAGTTACATTGGAGAAAACAAACGCCATGTCTCGGACCGCATTCGTGAACACAAAGCAGACCTTAAACACGGTAGGACCAACACCTAGGCCGTGGCAGATCATTGTTATAATTCAGTAGGCTCACATGACATTGACTTTTCCAAGACAGAGGTTCTTTGTAAGCCATCTGGCTACCATGAGAGATTCGTTCATGAGGCTATTCACATATACAAGCACAGTGACAATTTCAACCGAGAAGATGGATTCCGGCTTAGCAATCATTGGAAAGATTTGATAAACCATTTCAGGTCTTAATTGATTGTTCACGCTTACAGTGGCTTTCAGACAGCATATATTAATTTTTCGTCTCCCTCCTCCTCTTTTCAGAACATAGATGGACTAGTCCTAAATAAGCTGCCAAATCGCTGCGCGTGGCGCTGACGTTTTTTTCTATAAATAAATAAATATGCCGTTTAAAAATAAATACATTAATGCGAACCGACACACCTGATGACGCCCGTTTGTGTTATGGTCGAAACGTCGTGAGAATTTTTAATGTTATATATATATTTTATTATTTTATTGGTTCCCTTCAACGTGACTTTACCGAAAGAGCTAAGAGTATGAATTACTGCAGTCACGAAAGCTTTAAATCAAAACCTACATCTCTGCTTTATTGACCTGGTCAAGGCCTATGATACCATCAGTAGGCCTGGGCTCTGGGTTGTTCTTCGTGCTTTTGGAGTACCTGACCCTCTGCTCACGATCATTAAGGACCTTCATGATGGTGAGCGGGCCCGGGTAAAACTACGTGGCCGGGAGTCAGAGCCATTCCCTGTACACCTTGGGGTGCGACAGGGATGTCCTCTGGCTCCCACATTATTTAACATCTATTTTTACCACGTAGTTCGTGAAGCCTTCAATAGCTGTACCGGGGGAATCTCCATATGGTACAGATATAATGGGAGGCTGATCGATGCCCGGGTGCGGTCAAGGGATGGCTCCCTATTGCTCAATCACGTTATGTATGCCGATGATTTGGTAATAGCTGCTCATTCAGAGGAGGAGTTGGAGACGCTGCTGCTGAGACTGGAGCGTGCCACTAAGAGGTGGGGCCTTACCATCAGCCCCACCAAAACTAAGCACCTGCCTGGGTATTTTGTACCATCGGACACTACAACCCCACAACTCCCAATCGGTGATGGGGCAGTTGTGGAGCGAGTGGAGAGTTTCCAATACCTGGGCAGTGTGCTTATGACCGGCTCCAGTTTAACAGCAGAGGTCTCACTCCGAATCAGTCGAGCAGCAATATCTTTTCATCGGTTGCGTAACGCTGTGTGGAAGCTACCTGGTCTGTCGCTCCGCACTAAACTTCAGGTCTTCTCGGCCACGGTCATTCCCTACCTTCTCTACGCTTGCGAAACGTGGACACCCCTAATGGAACATCTTCGCCGGTTAGAAACATTTAGGCTGGCCTGCCTACGATCCATCCTGGGTTTAACCAGACTGGATTGTGTGAGGAGCTCACAAATCCTTTAAAGATCTGGGAAAGGTCCCATCGGTGAGCTCCTCTGGCGGGCAAGGCTGCGATGGCTGGGTCATGTAGCCCGCATGCCCAGCCACCGCATGCCGAAACAGCTTTTGTTCGGCCGGATTGAGGGGGCTAAGCGGGCGCGGCACGGGCTAGAGAAGAGATGGAGTGATGTGGTACAGGAGGACGTGGAGTTGAGTGGACTTGTCGATGACTGGTACCAGTGGTGTCAAGATCAGCCTCTGTGGAGGAGACTCGTGAAGGACGCTACTGGGCAGTTTGAGGTAGTCGCCCTCCAACAACAACGGAGGGCGGAGGAACGACGCTCACAACAACGAGCGGAGCGCCGGGTGGCTAAAGCACAGCAGGTTGGCACAGTAGGGGGCACAGGTGGTGCATCAGCCAGTCATCTCAGTCAGTCTCCCGTGGCACCTGGGTCTGCCCCGTGACCTCCTGCCAGCGGGCGTTCAACACTTCACGTGGCCTCAGGGTGCACATAGCCTGGCACAAGCGTCGTGGTGACGTCACCGCCACTTAGTGGTGAATGGCGGTTGTTGTTGTTGTTGGTATTGCGCTGCTGAATCTTGCATTGCGTGCCCATGGCCTACGCCGCGGCCGATAGTCGTAGCTCGCTTGGCACGATGCACGAGTCGAGTCGGCGATGTTCCCGACGACACTAGAGAGGGCTGAGTTGAGGTCCCGAACAAGGTCGGGTTGGATTAATGCTCATCGAAGTTCTGACGGTCAACATCGCAGTAGGCTTTCGCGACCAATATCATCCATAATTGAGGTTTTTGAGTTAGATCGTGTTTCGCCAGTAATTACAACATTTACAGCTAGCTGAAGCTATATTCTTGGTTCTTTCGGTAGAGTCACGTTGAAGGGAAACGTGACTACCGAAAGAACCAAGAATATGAATCACTGCAGTCACGAAAGCTTTAAATCAAAATTTATCTTAAGCTAGTTGTAAATGTTGTGGCTTGGCTCTCCAACACACCGGTGTGCTGTACTAGTGACGAATTGGCATGTTTTGTTTACGTGACAACCCTTACTAGTTGGCTGTGTCGGGTGGTGGCGGGTTTTAACGACACATTTATATATTTACGCGATCTTACCCAAAAAACCTGTATTATGGATCGCCTTTTCTTGTGGTCACCATCACCGTTGTGTTCGTCTTTTTAATCGTAATCATTTTTGTTTTCACACAACACAAAGGGGCTGAGTTGAAGCACTCTACAGGGAAGTGTTGCGTTGATGATCATCGTCATCATTTCCATATCCGTCATATCCATCACCACCATCATTGTCATCAACCTCCTTGTCATCATAAGTCATCGCTCTCGTCATCATCAGCGTAGTCATCATCATCATCGTCGTCATTTTCATCTTATTCATCTCAAAATAAAAGCATCAACGAACTAGATTTCAGAATTGTCATCAGTCAGAGCCATCTCAGTGTGCGGCGACCTGGTGCCCCGTGACAATGGGTGGCAGATGGGCCCTGTTGACTGATGATGTGTAGAACGGGTCAGTGACACAGACACACGTGGAGACAGATGGACACAGTGACGGACATAATCATATAAACAAATAGATAAATGTAGGGACACCAACAGGGAGAGTGATAAAAATAGAAAACAAAGAGAGACAGATGGACACGCAGAGAGGAAAATAGACAAAGTTAGTGATGACACTAACCGGTACAGACAGACAAAGAGAGAAACACGGAGAAAGGCACCCATAGAGAGAACCGCAGACCGATGGAGACACACAGAGAAACAGAGAGAAAGCAACACTGAGTGACAGAGACACGTAATGTTGATCGCTCCATCATCATCATCAGTTACCTCGCCTGCAATAGTCACTAAAGCTAATCTATATCCTGGTGATGCTGCTGCACAACTCTGCTGGGCGGCTACGAGAACGGATAAACGCTCATTAGAAGCAGCACTTTTGTCAAGTGTGGCCCTCACTTGCTTCTTCGCCTCCCCAATTTGTTCGGCTAAGTTGCCCGTGTAGGTGTTGTATCAATGCCAAGGTCGAGGTCGGAGACGAAAGGAGTCAAGATTGGGGCTCGCGGTGTTGTCCATTCAATTGCGGATGTCAGAATTCCTGCTCGCTGATCCACACGAGCCGCCCGACAACTCTCACCCACGACCAACAACCAAATCAAGTTCACTGTGAACGCCGGAGGCTAAGCGTGGTTGAGCAAGGTTATTTTTTGAATGGGCGACTGCGTTGAGGGGCGGCCAGGTGGTGGGAATACGCCGATTGATTTTCCAATTTTTCGTGTGCGCAGTTACGTGTCAGTCTGACTGCAGCACAGTCGTGCATTCTTGGATCCATCTGCGCGGAGCTGTGAGTGTTACACCCCTCGTGTGCGTGGTGAGTTTTTTTCCGGGTACAATACCCTGGTTTTATTGTACAAAGCCGTGCATTCATTGCCAATGGAGTTGACCAAACATCCCAGTGTAACCAGACTTTCCTGACAAAAAAAAGTATTGAGGCGCTGTAGCTTTCCTAATTGAATAAAAAAGAGTGTAATAATTGCATTCTTTTAAATGTTTTGCCCTAATCGAGATGGCTTACTTATGGCATTGATTCCACGCTCAGACATCCGTGCAACCTTGGCCAGTACACAACGTTTTAGCACGCGACATTAATACACTCACCAATAAATCAATGTGGTGGATAATTGTTGTATTTCATGGCCGTGAACAATGCAATTAGAGGCAAACATTAAACAGACCATGTGAGCATGAGCCTGACACATTGAATTACACCGAGAACTGAAAAAAACACAACACAATGCGGAGAGCGCATGCTTTTTTTTTTAATCTGGAGGCTTCCACAACATTGGTGTAAGTGGCTAGCACCACGAAGCGCGTGATCCACAGATTGAGGCCCCATCTCTGGGCGTGTGCTGTTGAAACAATGGACATGGTTTATTGAATCCTCGCCACCGCCTATGTGCCCAGCGGTACGAGTTGGTACACCACAGTTGTGTTTGGTGGGGGAAAGCATGGGTACTCCCAACTTTTCCAAGAGGTTCGGCGACCGTAGAATAGTAAGAAAAATACTCTCTCGAGAGAAAAGCCCTCCAGAGCTTCGTTTAGTCGTGGCGTGAGCAAGACATTACAGGGCGGCACCTTGAACTTTCGACCTGCACGTGAGTCTGCGGCTCTTAAGTTACCCACGTAGTCGTGTTAAAATAGTTGCTCGTGAGGTGCGTGTTTGTTTCATTAATGCATCATCACCACGACCATCATCAACAGCTGTGATCCATCCACTGCTGGGTGGATGTTTCCCCACAGTCGTCATCCCTCGCGGTCCTGCCACGATGCCGCGTTCCGTGTCATTCCTGCGTGTGAGCTGAACTCGTCGCTCCGTCTTCCACCGTGGGCGTCCTTCTGAGCGCCACGGGGCGCCACCGTGGCGAGATGTTAACTACCTCGCCTGGTATGCAGGAGGTCGTGGATTCGATCCCAACACTGACGCCTGCTGTATATTTTTGATTTTGCATGTTCTCCCCGTGGGAGCGTGGATTTTTATCCGGGTCCTCTGGATTTTTAACCTCCACATTTATAAACATGCGTTTAGAGTATTCGGCTTCTATACATAAAACATATGCTTAGAAAATGGGCAAAGAGAAGGTGACATACCCCAGCTTACCCAGGAGAATGCGATACAGCAAATGCGGACTGATCTTCACCTGTGCCATCTCTATGGGATAGAGTGTTGCCCCCTCGCACAGCCTTGGGTTTCTACACGTGTAAACACTCGTTAATTGTCCAATAGCAACTTAACATATATAAAGGATTACAGAGCGTGGGCATTTAATGGCCCCGGCTCACCGCCTGGCTGCTGCCGTCTCGCTTGTCTGCAGTTCCTCGCCCCTCTTGAGTCGTTCGCGCTCTTTGAGAGCGAGCGGGCGCTGTGCGGCGGTGGTGCGTTACAAGTTGAATTTATTTGCCGCAGCAATTACACCAATGCTTCTCTCGACGAGTCTTTTCGCATGACATACGGGCTCAGCATCACGGACACACTGATGAACAATGGAGCAAACGTTGATGTATAATCTATATATGCCTTTATCACGGAACGTGTAACTGTCGAAAAGAAAAGCACAAACACAACGTTTTATAATTCGGAATTTGACACTGAAAATGATTTGTGGAACAAGTGCAAGACATCGCTCGTGTTAACATGGGGGGTGGAGGGGAGAGTGGGGACCCATCGCATATGAACCCCATTATAAAGGCAAAGTCGGACTCGGTGTTCGTATGTTATCACTTGACACACGTCGCTCAAATTGCGAAGAGTTACGGCAAAATACGCGCATCACAAATGGACATTTTGAATCGGGATAAATACACGTGGCTGTACAATTGTCTCATAGGCCTAATGTCATTTAAGCATGGCTAGTCATTGTGTGTGTAAAATAATACGCGAATAAATAACTTAAACTAATGAACTAAGAGGGAAATATGTGAATTCAGATATATATCATCATATTCCATCCACTGCTGAAGGCCTCACATTGCTGGGTGAAAATATTAATGCTTTTTTAATATATATCGCGCCCTCCTATTGCGCAGGAGTAATTTGGAGCGCTTTACATCTCACATATCATCTCAACACATTATGAAGGGCACCCCCAGTGGCAAGGCGACTCAGCACCTGGCCTGCAAACGGGCATTTGTCTGCTAGAAGCAAAACAATGATTGCTCACGTGCGTGTAATTCCAACTGAACACTGGGGATATATATATATTTTTGCCAAAATTGGACCGTGACATTGGCGCACGATGGCTTACTTACGATCACGCGGTGCCACTAATCCATCGCACGGTTTGCACCCGAGTGGTCTCATTGCTGCATCTTTGCGGTCGTCATTCGCTCGGGCGCGTTTTCTCCAGTAGCCAACATCCCTTTGAGCGATGTGGCTCGCCCAAGCCCGCTTAATATGCTCACGGTAAAGTTTAACACCAGGGTATCCCAAACTCCAGTCCTCGTGACCCACCGCACTACATCTTTCAGTCTTCACGAGTATACTCCCCATTCAAATACAAATTAATTTGCTGCACGAATGCCCGACAATTGTTAAACGAATCCCACGGGACGCGCAAATCAATGCATTGTGTCTGTGTCACGCGCAACACGCACGCGCTCGTACACCGAGATCTCAATTTAAATTTTAATCGCCCCTATGAACACAGAACGCGTTAATTGATTAGCGTGTCAAGCGGGACGAGTCGAACAATCATTGGGCGCGTGCAGCGTGCTACGATTTTTTTTATGGGGAGTGCATTGGCAAACGCAGAAAGACGCAGCTTGGCAGTGGGTCGATAGGACTGGAGTTTGGAGAACCCAGCTTTAATATACTTGTACTTCAAAACCCATGAATCTCTATTTCATGACTCGTTCTAAATATTCTTACACCCCGAGCCATCAAGCTCTCTTGTGCTGTTCCGGTTTTAATAAGCGCTGGCTAACTGCATTGGTATAACAGGCTGTCTGGTTACATTGGGTGTTTGTTTTCACGTCGGCAGCATTGTGCGCGTGCATGTGTATATGAGTGCGCGCATGTGGGTGGAGTGGTGGCGGAGTGATTAGCGCATTGCTCGATGAACCTGCCAACTGGAGTTCAATTATTTGAACCGGTTCAGGGCCTCCCCCAGGCCCTGGCTCTGTGTGTGCAAAGCACACGCACTGAAGATACAAATGCTGCCGGGCATGCTGTTGGCCACCTACCCCTAGTGTGTCGTGCCCGTCTAGGTGCCCACTAAGAGAACGTGCCCCAACAGTCTGTTAAAAGTTATACGGGGGGATCTTTGTCTTGTGTGTGTGGAAGTCACACTCCCGATCTAAATAAGTAACCACAAACACAAGTCGCATGTTTACGGTGCGTTAGCGCCGCAACACGTCTCGTGCTTGCGATGTTGCACCGCGCTTGTGATTCTCGGAGTCATCGCAGGTCTCCGTGTGAGTGCGCGTTTCCTGCGCGTATTTCTACGAACCTGACTGCCCGAGGTCGTTTCTCGTCCATGGCATACATTCGCGGTGTATATCTGAGCCGATTTGAGCCTCCCCTTCGGTATACTCAGCCTTAAACGGGTAACCTGGTGTGTCGTGTGAACATCGCCACTGGGGAGACAAACGCGAGCGGGCGTGGTGCTGTCCCCACGCCTCTTCGTGCGCCGTTCCAGCCTTCACGTGTATTCGCTAAGGGCACTTGCCGCAAATAGTTTGTGAAGGCGACAAAGGAAGGGGGGGAGATCTTTGTCTTTATTTGTTTCTGTGTGTGTGTGTGGCGGTGACGGTGGTGTCATTTTCAAATGGTGGTCACGGTAGAGGTACGTGTGGAAGATAGTTGGTTGGGCGGAGGGGCTTAGTGGGTACAGTCGCGAGCTGTTAGCCAGGGCTGAAGGAATCGTGTAATTGTGAAGGCATCGCGCAGAGGGTAGTGCCGAATGGGTGGCTGGGTTGACCGCGCTGTTTCCTTACGGTTTGGTCATGTGGAGTGGAGCGATTAGGATGAAAATCGCGCTCTGCGCCAATAGCATCTCCTCGCGTTCGCTCCGATGCAAGCCCTTCGCGACACGTGCTTGATAAATATGGCGTCGGGATGAATTGATTTTCAGGTCTGGCCCATTGTGCGTGTGGAAATAACGGATTTATACAAGGACCACTTCACCCCTGCCCCACCTCCCCTCCATCCTTCACGCTATCCACCCTGCGATTTTCGCACATGCAGCTAGCTCCCGCTCCTAATAGAAAAATCGTAAAGTGCTTACGGACCGTGCAAAAGAAGATGCATACATTACGTGCCCCCTTAGGAGTGCCTGCCGTGATGTGATGCTGAGCAACGCTGGGATTCCAATGCAGACGTCGCCGGTCTGGTTCCGATCTCCCGTCGTGGCACTTGTTGAGTGTCTTCCATCGTCCCCACCTCTAGTACACTTGGCGGTGCAAATAGGCACGCCGCGGTTCATCAATGGGCAGGTCACGCGTGGAAGGGTAAAGTGTGGGTAATCCAACCTCTCCTTGTCAGTGTGGAAGATTAGGCCAAATACACTTTCAGAGGGACTCTAGAGCTCTCGCGAGTGGACATCCCTCCCCAGGCAGTAGCAAGCAATTTCGGCGTTGCTTGCGACTTCACCACCATTATCACACCTGCACATCACGACTGTGTTTGGCCTACTCTTACACGCCGGCCAGACGTCTTGAAAGAGGTGGTAGCACCACCCACACTTTACCCCAACACACCGCACGCGAATTGCCGAACGGCTCGCGGTGTACTCATGGCTGAGTTGGAGGTAGTAACGCGACCTTGCCCATTGTCGCAACTTGCCTCGCCCGGAGATCGAGTCGAGTGTTGCGGACCGTTACGCCACGGCGATTACCGATCAGTGTCAACTTGTCAAGCAATTCGCTCCGAGCACAATTGGTCCTGACGCTCGTCTAGCGGAGGCCACGTTTTGGGTATCAATGGCGCTTAATTGCATCCCTGACGCGCAGTGAATGCACATCGATTAGGCCGGTCGTGACCCCCATCAGCGAGACAGCACTGCCCCATCCTCACAACCCCATCTCCACCCCCCACCCCTGTACGCATCTCGACAAAAAAGGGGTCTCGTATGGGTTTGTGTTAACGTCTCAACCGCATTCAGTATTGTGTCATTCTGTCGTATCACAGTGTTAACGTTCACGATGTGATTGAATAATTCGTTAAGCATTCAGTTCAGATTTTTTTTTGCCCGCACTTATGCATCGGTGTCTGTCTGTGTGGGGGGCAGGATATGGTAGTACAGCAGTGGATTGTTGAATCTGAGATTGATGGGAGACCGCATGGTAACACCAGGTGTTTCCAGGCGTAGGCCGTGAGATTGGCAGGAGATGTCGGCACACCAGTGGATTGTTCACTCTATCTGTGCAGAGGTTGAAATGTTTAATGCCTTGGTGGGTTTTCTCCGTGTGCGCCGGTTTCCCTATACAATAATCCAAACATTCAAATAATGGAATTGGCCAAACAGCCCAGTTTTTCGGGACCCTCGTGACAAATAGTTAGGAGACTCGGTGGAGTTTTCCTGGGTTACTATACGACAATGACATTCATAATTAATGCATGTATTATAAAGTCACGCACTATATTCTTTACACCTGTTTTGGGCTTCGGCAGCTGTATGATTACAGTACGCCAGGCTGATTCCTTGGTTCAATGATTATTATTTGTAAATGTTAAGCGCGATCATTAGAGTTGTATAGAGCCTCAGGCTAACCCTCCCATACGAGTGAAACGATCTCTCATTTTCAGAGGGCCGAGTAAAACAAAAAAAATGCAGATTTATTTTTTATTTGTAGGCATACAGTTAACTATAAATTCACCAAGTGTCGCCATTCAAGCCCCTCTAGAACATCGTTAGAATTCAGATTAATCGCTCAATCCTCGATAGTCGCGTGGAGTAAATGAGACGACTTAAGACGCGATTCGCAAGGTGGTTTTGCAATTGCCACATTTGCCCACCAGCCCCACAATTCTACAGGGCAAGACATTGCATTTGTCCACGTCCAGGTCAGTCTACCAACCAGCGGACTCACGCCGGCATTTGTTTAATTGTACCGAGCTGAGCCAGGGGTTCACTCTGACCAGACGTTAGTACATGAGTCCAGACTGGACATCGCACTTGTCGTCACCACTTTCAGGTGGCATCACTTTTGCGATTCCGATTTCGTTGTTTGGTCAATAACAGCGATTTGCGTGATAACAATATTAATTAGTGGGGTTATCAAATAAGTCGCCCTCATTTTGGCCGTGTAAATACATCGGTAAAACTGAAGATGTGCCGGTGCCCGAGGTTGTACCGGTTTCTGTTCTGGCCCATGGCCTTAAGGAACCAGGGGCCTATGCACAACACGTAACTAACAAAACCACCACCAAAAGCGTTAATTAGGGTAATCTTATGGGATTTTTTTACATATAAGTTATATTCTTTTTATATATAAATAATGTTTCAATTCCTACAGTAATGTAAAATGATAGGTATTGCAAGCCAAGCGGATGTTTTTGTCTGAATGATGACATCTGTCCAGATTGTGATCAATAATAATAATAATGTGTTTATACAGTTCCATAATTCATCCAAAATGCATCTCACAATGCCGCACAATCCACTTGTGGATGTGTCTGTACATTAAACTATTTCCAGCTCAAATAATGAGTGCATACGTCGGAGGAAACCGGGAGGACCCAGGGAAAGAAAACCCACGCGTGCGAGAAGGCACTCTCACACAGATGGAAACAGGTGGCACTTAAGTCCGCCCTTGCTGCACCACATCCTCCTGGCCGAGCCAGAGCACGGCGCCTCCTCGACGCCCACGGGGAAGGCAGTTTCACAACGTTTGTACGGTGATCCGTCGAAACCTCACCCATGCCTCCACAGTGCTGGATTACAGGCAACCACGTGCGGCGTAGCTTCCACCGCCGCCCAGCGTATTTCGACTAATTCGTTTTTTTTATCGATTCATGCCGTGGAATGTCTGGCGATGGCTCCACGCAGCCTCGACATTGAACATTAAAGCAGATTAACCCCCGTCCACGGGACGGTCTGTACACGGTTCGCGTCGTATAAATATGCGCAAATGACAAGCAACGGCAAAGCTATCGCGGTACTCCGACCAAATTGTGCAGCTCTTTGTCACTCCACTGCTGGATGAAAGCTTTACGCCGTGCAGGTAATGGGGGGGGGGGGGGGGGGGGTTTGACCATACTTCACCACGATGGTCAGTGTGGCGTTGATGACGTTGGAAGGGTGGCAGAACCCGTTCGGATATCTCACTCGCCTCTCACGATAACCATAGCCGAGATTCGATTTCAGTTCGACGGCGCGCTAATCGATGTGCCACTGCTCAACAGCATATGCAACATATATATCAATCTGCATTTTCTACTTTCGGCTGTCAAACTCTGAGCCCTGAAATCACTTTGACTGATTCGTGCCGTGGAATTGCTGGTTTTGGCTTCCCGTAGCCGTGAGCTCCTTACAGCCTAAGCACACGCCACCACCACCACATCAATTCTTATTGCCTCCGGCATGCAGCCTCCATTTGCAGCTGGCAGCACGTCACCCCTGCAGGGCATTGCTTGCAGGGCTTTGTTTCCCCAAGCCCTATTTTTGCATAATTGACGTTGCTTTTGTCGAACTCTGGAATAACACACCTCGTTTGTCCATCTGTGTGCCTATCATGAGTAGAGTCCCAGCACTAACACGAGTACATATTGTCATACAGTCAAGTAAAAGGCTCGCTGACAAAAAGGAAGCCGCTCGGTACACGTGCCGACGTTCGGATAACGTTCGGTTGGAACCGTTGGACCAACATTGGCGTAACGTTGAACGGACATTCCACGTGTGCTCGCAGGGGGAACCGTTCTCCTGTCGTAGCTTTGGCCTAGGTCAAGGAAACGGTTGAACAACGATGTTGCGCCGTTCTATTCATACGACGTGTTAGATGGTCTGAACTCTCTCCTCATTCTCGTGTTGCTAGTGGTGAGTTGGGCGATGCGTGTGTAAAGTAAAGGGACATCTGGCAAGCGTGTGAAGACAAATGGAGACCTAAACTGTGAGTTTTTAAAATGAATTATACATCCAGGAGAGACACACAGATTCCAAAAACTATATTTCAGGAGGGTCCTGCTGCACTGGGTTTTCATAGGAAGATCGTTTCAGCCAACGTATGAGCGTTTATACATTGCACGGGCAGTGTCTGCTGGGATTCATCCTCGGGGTTTCCTTTGGGTTCGATCGTGTGGAGGGTACAGCGTCAGAGCTATACACCCTCAGCCAACCGACACAGCCAAACAAATCAAATGTGTCACTTGGGCAAATGTATCCCAATTGGTTTTAGTTATTTGCAAGGTGAAAAAAAACAGTTTTGAGAATTCCGTACGACATTCCGCTGGAGATGGCACCCAACATCATCAGGTGCTAGCCAGAGCTTGACTCTCAAGCGGACGATGCTCTTCCTCATCTATGTCCTTCAGTCAAAACAAAACATTATCCTACGTGTATTATCTGATGTCTTCGCCTGTGAAATGTGAGTCCTAATCATTCCCCTTGCGCAGCAAGGAAATTTGTTTGATGACGCAATTGCAAACGTCACGCCCGCTAATGTTCTACCCGACACGGACAGGGCGTGTGCAGTGACGCCTGAAGGACAATGTAAGGGTTGGCCTTGACAAATGTGAAAACTTTAAATTATTTGTCAGATGATTTTTGGCTTGAGTTTGTTATCCTTCCCCCGCACCTCCGATCAGCACGGTCGGCTTTGTACGGTGCGAAAGAAGTTCAACATACGTATATGTGACCCACGCCAGGCTTTTTTTTAAAGGGTAAAATCCAGCCTTGTGGTTAAATACATTATCTCTGCACGCATGGCAAACGCAATTTTCTTATTAATTTACTCACGCCAATTAATTTACCCGCTCTCAACAATACCTTAATTTACTGCGCAGATGAATTGTTGCGGGAAAACGGTTGCAGGGAAGTCCACTTGTGAGCGATTCAGTTGTTTGCAACCAAGTTCTGAGGTGTGGAACCGGCTTAATGATTCGCGGGGTCGTGGTTCGATTATTGGTGAGATTTATAGGTATTGCAGTGTATGGAATATAGCGGCCTCTGATGACTGGACGTGTTCACATGATCCTACAAAATTCAAGTGCTTTTGAAAAGCCATTGATTCTTAGACGATGCCATTAGATGCGGATAACGTCTGGCGAGCTGGCGATATTAATCGGTGATGCATCGCAACGTCCGTCAGGGTGCGCGCGTTAGTGCAGCGATTGCGTGTAAACGCGCATGCACGCGCTTTCGGGCATCGAAACTTTTGCCCCCCCCCAAAAAAAAATATATATATAATAACTCGTATTCGGTGACCGAATGCCGTCACTGCCCCAGTTAAATAACGCACATGACCTGTGGCCTGATGCCTTGCGTGTCGCGTTCACTGCCAACAGTGTGCAGCAGCAATAGCAGCAGCAATAGCATCGGTAGCAGCAACAATAGCAGCAACAGCGTCATGGCAACACAGCGGGAGCCCCAAATCCAATCACGATCATCCCACGTGCATAGTGCACACCGTACACTCTCACGAGCTAATGCACGTGCAGTCCTCCAACACCGTTATACGTGCACGCACGCAGGTACCCGGATTTCAAACATTCCAAATGCATGCGCCCCAGTTGAACACGCACACACACACACGCACGCAGTTACCCCCCCATGCACGTGCACACGTCGAGTGCTCTCGCACACCCCAAACGCACGTGTGCACGCACCCCCTTCCCCCTCCATAACCCCTCGCGCACGCTCAACCACAACCACGCTCGACACGACCACCATCAACACAACCACACTCTGCCACGCTCGACACAATCGCGCTCAACGACGCTCGACGCAATCGCCCTCCGCAACGACGCCAAGCCACGCTCGACCGCGTTCGACACAACCACGCCGAACGCACGCGCGCTGATTGGACGCAGGCAGGCGTAGACCCTCGAACGCATTTTTACGCACGCAGCGCAACGCGCGTCGAGCGAACGCATCCCCAGCCCCTTAAACCGCAGCGCACGCTCGCACTTAAATGTATCCCTTACGCACGGTACGCACCCCCCCCCCCCCCACTCCCCGAGCGTACACGACGTTGCAGGATGCGCACGCGCCCCGCTAGACGCACGACAGCTGCACGCTGCCGTTCTCGTGCAGCGCGGTGGCCATGGTCTCGGGCGGCGCCTCGTGCAGCCGCGACTTCTCGGGGCGATTGTCGCTCGGATCCGCGCCGTCGTCGTGAGTCGCGTTGGCCGCGGCCACCTTCTTCTGGCAGAGCACCTTCTGGAAGCTCTTCTTGAAGTTTTCCGAGAGGAACGCGTAGAGGATCGGGTTCGCGCAGCTGTTGGCGTAGGAGAGGACGACCACGAAGAAGTAGAGGCCCATAAGCGCGGGCTCTTCGGGCAGCGTGACAGCCAGGTTGATGATGTTGAGCAGGTAGAAGGGCAGCCAGCAGAAGACGAACACTGCCACCACGACGATCACCATGCGCGTCACGCGCTTCTCAGACCTGCGGCGCTTGGTGGAGCCCTGCACGCGCGCGCCCGAAGACTTCACCTTGAAGATGATGAGCAGGTAGCACAGGCAGATGACGGTGAGCGGCCCGAAGAAGCCGAGCAGCGCCGTGTAGAGAATGAACGCCGTGGACCACACGCTGGCCGGGTCGGGCCAGTTGATGTTGCACATGGTGATGTCCCCTTGCGTGTAGGAGAAGATGATGACGGGCAGGACGACGACGATTGAGAGGAACCACACGGCGCCGTTGACGAGCTTGGCGAAAAAGGGCTTCCGCCACTTGGTGGACTTGACCGGGTGGACCACGGCCAGGTAGCGGTCGATGCTCATCACGGTCAGGCAGAAGATGCTCGTGAACTGGTTGATGCCGTCCACCGTCATGACGATGCGGCACATGAGCGAGCCGAAGGGCCAGTAGGAGAGCGCGTTCTGCAGGGCGAGGAAGGGCAGCCCGAACATGAAGAGTTCGTCGGCGACGGCCAGGTTGAGGATGTAGATGTTGGTGACGGTCTTCATCTTGGCGTGGCGCAGTACCACGTAGATGACGAGCGTGTTGCCCGTCAGGCCCACGGCGCAGACGACGAAGTACATCAGAGGCAGGATGATGGCTCCCGCACCCGGCTCGTATGGCTCCTCGATGCCCGTGGCGTTGCCGGTGTCGTTGCCGTTGTTGTCCCAGAGCCACGAGGTGTTGTTTGTAATCCAGGGGGTCGTGTTGGGCGGAAGCATTGATTCCATGGCGTGGGGAGATGGTCAAAAGGCTTCAGTACTCTTTAGACGGGTGGAGCGCGTGTGTGTTGTGTGTTTGGGGTGGGGGGGTTGGCTAACTGTGTGTGTAAGCGAGAGTGTGTCAATGTGGGTATGTGTGTGCGTATGACAGGGTTTGGTACTTGAGGTCCTGTTAACGTGTTAATTAGTGTGAATAAAGTGTTTATTAATTTGAGTAGGTATGTGAGATAATTTTGATCTGTATGTACGTGTGTATGCCTTACTGCGTACTCGCTAACTGCACTTGCCACAGCAGTCGTTTAAAAACAATATGGGGACAATTGTATTCGTGTACGTGAGAACATAAGATACTGTGGATGTGTGTGTATAATCGTGGGCATATACGTGTTTGACGAAAAATCTGTATGCTTATACTATATGTGTGGGTATGTATGCGTCTGTGAGTGTATTCATCTATGTTAGGATGTGTGAGATTACGCAATTGCCTATCAACGTGTGTGTGAATATTAGTGTGCGTCTGAGTGTACTTAAGCGAGCATGCGAATGCGTATTTGTGAGTGTCTGTGTGTGTACTTAAGTGAAAATGTCTGAAAGTGTATTAACTTTGGTGTATGTGAGTGTATATGCACGTCAGTGTGTTTAAGTGTGCGTGTATCCAATACGTGTTGACGTTTCACTAAGTGCTTTCTTTTCTCAATGCATCATCGTTACATCTTACCGTGCGTGGCCGCTATTAATGAAACTTAGCCAAACTTTGGGCGTTCTTTTTTTCTTACTTTAAAGATTCATGCGAGTGTGATGAGTCAACTAACGAGGTGCGAAAATGTTACAAATTAGGGACGAGCTTTCAGATACGTTCCGCCGATATGAAGAACCGCTAGAGCTATGAACTGTTAAAACTATATCGAAAACTAATTTCCTTAGCACTTATTTTTGTGTTCAGTTTCTTGTGCCCCCTCCCCCCACCCCGACCGCACCTCCGATTAGCACGGTTGGCTACGTACGGTGAGAAAGAAGTTCAACGTACACGAACACTTCGGCTATATGAGCTATGTAAATAAATGAACATGCTACTAAAGTAAATGATGGGTTAGTCACAACTTCTCCGGCGTCCACGCGGGGGGGGGGGGGGGTGGTGCTGAGTTCGCGATCTCCGAATCTCGCTCCCGTCTTCTGTAGTCGCGAGTCGCTCACTCGGAACAGTGACCTCTGGGAGAAAGAAAAAAAAACGAGAATTGCAACAAAATTCATGAATGCACACGCGACGCACACGCAGTGTCACATCCACTCATCCTGCCCGCCACGAGGGATCGACTTAACGGATTGCATTCATTAAATACTATTGATGTTTTAGAAAGGTTGCTCATCTGAAATTGGGCGCACTCGTGGCCAACCCCTCCGTGCAGCAATGGACTGACAAAGGGCTTTGAATGAAGAATTCGTGATTGGATAGTCGAGTCTACGCGTGAAACTGTACAATCAAACCGTAACGTCAGCATGTTCAATTCGATTACTGAATTTCACCATCCCCCCACCCCCTTCCCACCCAAAAAAACCGATGCTAATTTGAAAGTTTTGTTTTTATCTGAGCCTGACGAAAGCTTGCACGTGAGTGTGTTGATTGTGTTGGAAGGTGTTGAATGGGAATGTGGCATCGTATTTGCGAGACCTCAGTTTCTTAATCGATTTTTGTTTGTTTGCGAGAGCGTGACCCTAAAGCTGCCAGCCAGCGAATCTCGGCTGCCAGTTATAAGCACAATGCAAGCATCCGCTGTGCGTGATATTGAACGTTCCGCAGAATCAGACGGGCAGACACACAGACGCACAAAGACTCGCCAAGGATAACATAGACACCCTAGCTGCGAATGCGCACACAGATGCAAAAATACAAAGACCCACCAACAGAGATATGCACAAAAAAAGACAAAGATCCCCCGTATAGCCTTAACAGACTCTCGGGGCAAGTGCTTTTAGCGAGCAGCTATAAAGGCCGGCACAGGACATGAGGGGGTGGGTAACCAAGACCACGCCCGGCCGCCTTTGTCTCCCTAGTGGCGATATTTAGAGATTGCACCAGGTACTAATTTGAGGCTTAATCGACCTAGAGGAGACCCAGAACCGTTTTAGATAATCGTCATTGGTGTTGGCCGTGAGCGGGAATCGAACCCGGGTCGCTTGGTTCGAGGCGCAGCGCGCTAACCGCTACACTACCGCTCCCCACACACACACGCATACATCCACACACGCAAACAGACGCGCACAAAAACACGCAGACGTACGGACACACACAGCTGCAGACAGGCGCATCTACACAAAAGGCAGATACAGAGAGGCACAGCCGAACGGAGGCCAGTGGACACGGACTGACACAAGACAATGGCACACATAGATGCAGACCGACGAGCACCTATACACACACACACAAACGAAATGAACACTCGCGCAATGAAATTGCCGCACAGCAAATTTTGATAATGGACTCGATAAGACACAACCGTATCGTTTGAGACGTTTTCGTTCCCTCCCCGTAACTTTTATTCCACGTGTTATTCGTTTGTTGCCCTTTCCCAACGGCGCATCCGATAAGCACGGTTGGCTACGTACGGTGCGAAAGAAGTTCAACATACATACACACAACATACGTACATGTTAGTGTCGATGCAGGAGCAGTGGCAGGGTCACGGGAGAAGCGGCAGAAGCAATGGTCACTCTGATGATTCCCGTGATGAGACATGCATTGCCCTGGTAGTAAATAGCAAGGACGTGTGCAGACAATTGCCTGGCTGACGTACGCGCACGCACCCATTCACACTGTGTGCAGAGCTCACACATAAACACGCTCGGACATATGCTAAGACCAAAGTCCCCCCCAAACCCACCCCGCCCCCCCCCCCCCCAGTATAGACTTTAACAGACTGTTGGGGCACGTGCTGTTCGCGAGCACCTATGAAGAGCCGGCAACGACACATGCACATCTGCGCGATCGCCCGGTCGCCGTTGTTTTCCCAGCACTGATGTTTAGACACCCTCCCCCCCCTACCAGGTATGTGTACTCATTTAATGACCGAATCAGATTGGTCGTGAGCGGGAATCTAACTCGGGTGGCCGGGTTCGCGCAAACAAACTCGCCTGCGTACACAAACACGCACACACACACACGCGCATGCACGTTCATTAACCTCCTTCAGTCACAGACGCGCAGACAAACGCACGCTTGCACGCGCACGCACCTGTGGATACGTCAACACCCGGCAACATCAACGCACGAACACTCACGACGACAACCGACAGACTAGGAGCAAGCGCTGTTTTGCTGAGCATCCATGTAGCGCAGCACGACACACGAGGGGCTTGGTGGCCAACACAACGCCAGGCCGTCAGCAGGTATGTATCAACGTGAATGAGGTACTCATTTGAGGTCGAGTCGACCTAAGGGGAGGACAAGGACCGGTTTCAAATAATCCTCACTTGTTGGTGGCCGTGAGCAGGAATCGAACTCGGGTTGCCGGGTCCGTAGCGAAGCGCGCTAAGCTCTATGCCCCAGCTCGGCACACATGCGCGCGGTGACACACGCATTTTCATTACGTTGCTTTTGTAATATCAGGTGCATTGGACTCATTAAGTTATACAACTGTGGACATAAATGTACAGTATGTATACACGTAGGGGGCAACCCTTGGGTTGTAATTGAAAACGCTGCCTTACAACAAGCGCGACCGCCTGGGTTCGAGTCCTGATCCGTGCACGCGGCAGTCGCTACTAGAACTTCTCCTCTGTATTTCGCTTAGGTCTTTTTTTCTTGTTTACTAGTCAAATAAAATACAGATATTAGAAAGACAAAGGCGGCCGGGCTCGTGGAAGACTCGAGCACCGCGTTTCACGACCAAGCGGTCTCAATAGGTGCTTGCGACCAGCAATTGTCCCCTGAACTCTGTGGTATAAGATGCTCGTGTGCCATTTGCTGTGTGTACGAATCTACAGCATGGAATACATGTTCTTGTTTGTCTCGGTTATGCCAATAAATAATTGTGTCATATATGCAGGCAACGTATGCACGTCATGTGCCATGTATGTAATGTGTGGGAATGCCGTAGTATGTCATGTTACGTAATTATATATATTATTGAATGCAATCCACTGCCGTGAGTCATACATGTAATGTACAAACGTATGTCAACGTATGTCCTGTGTGCATTTCATGAATGTAATGTATGTCTTGTACGTAGGAATCGATAGCATGAACGTTTGTCATGGTATGTGACGTACGTGTGTTACGTGATATGGCACGTGTGTAATATATGGCACGTGTGTAATATATGGCACGTGTGTAATATATGGCACGTGTGTAATATATGCAATCGATGTAATGTATGGACGAATGTCACGGTGGTGACGTGAATGTTTTATGCCATGCGTGCAACGTAAGCACGAAATGTCACGGCAGTATCCTGTGCGTGCGCCATGCGTGCAATGCGCACACGTGTCACGTGACATGCGTGGCGGGGCACGTACCTCGTGGCAGGAGCCGTCGCTTGAACGCGCGCGGCCGCGGGATGAGGAATCCGACGGCGACTCTCCCGAGCGCGCTCCGATCTCATTTTCCCGTCCGCACGAGACTCTCGTCGACGCTCGCGCCGCCTTCTACTTGTTCTTCCACCCAATTACCTCTCATTCACCCGCTATCGAGTGCGCCTCTCTGTTGATTAAACACTCCTCCTCCTCCCTTCTCCTCCTCCTCCTCCTTTCTCCTCCTCCTCCTCCTCCCTCCTCTCCGACACTCGCAGCGCGCGCGCACCGAACGCTTCTGCCCCGACCACAGACACCAACCACCGCTACCACCAGCAGCGGCTGATCTCTTCAAATGTGTCGCAGAGTGGTCGGGTCAAAACAATCGTACAGGGTCTTGCCGTTCCTGCTAAGAATGTAACTCCTGCTGCCGATGGTGATGATGATGATGATGTTTCTGCAGCTGTCCCTGCTGCTGATGCCACTGATACTCGTGCTACTGGTATTCCTGCTGCGGTTATTATTGTTTTTGATGACGATAATTCTTCTGCTGCTGATGATATTGATACTTTGCGTTCCTGGTGCTGCTTCTACACCCCCTGCTGCTAATGTTACTGCCCTGATGCTGCTGCTGATGATATTGCTGCTGCCGCTGACAGCTGTTGCTGCTGCTGTGGTGCGTGCGGGTTGTCTTCGTGACGATGGACGTTGAAGCTACATCTCCAGTTATTCTTCTTACCACTGAACCGGTTACTTTAATTCGTCAAGCTGCGCTGAACTCATTGACGCGGTGTTTATATCCCTCTCGTTTAATATAATAATAATTATTATTACTTCTTAGCAGGGTAGGGAGGGCGGGGGAGAAAGACGTTGCTACTTAGCAGTGAGTAACTTTAATTCATCAATCCGAGATGGTGAACGCGATCACGAACAGTTGTCGTCTTCAACTTCTTGTAGCAGGAGTTTGCTTCTCTTGATGAGAGGGAAACTTGGGGAGTTGATTGTTTGTATCGAGCGCCGCTTCTGCTCTTTGTCAGCGCGCGCGCGTGCGCGTGCTCGCGCTGCGGTGATTTAAATGAGCGCGTAATGAGTGACCCGCTGTGTTGAGAGTGGCAGAGAGAGAGGGAGGGGCGGGAGGAAGAGAGGGGGGTGGGGGAGAGAGAGGGGAAGGGGGCGACGGGGTTGTTGAGGGGAGAGGGGCGTGAGGAAGAGAGAGCAGGAGGGAGTTGGGGAGGAAGAAGGATGGGGAGAGGGGTGGTTAAGGTGGGGTGGGGGGGCAGGATGAAGACAGAGGGAGGTTTGACTAAAGAGAGGGCGATGGGGGGAGAGGGACGGGTGTAAGAGAGAGAGAGAGAAGGTGGGATGAGAGAACGTCAGAGGAAGGAGAGGCGGGTGTAGAGGGGAGAGGCACATGGGACAGAGAGAGAGAGAGAGAGATGGAGACGGGAGGGAGGTAATGGGGAATGGAGTTAAGGGTATATGGTCAGTAGGAAGAAAGAGTGAGCGAGGTGGGTACGGGAAGATAGACACACACGGCACGTACACAGAGACACCCACGTGATCATCAGCCCTCGGGGAACCCCGAGACTCGCTCGTGCGCAGCTGAGCCATTGCGAGACGAGCAAAACCTCTCGCTCAATCAATGCTGCTGGCAAATTACTCTTCTCACAATCTCGCGCTCCTCATTGTTCTTTTCCCTTTCGTCTCCGATGTTTTGCTGCGGCTGCTGCGGCTGCTGCTGCTGCTGCCCGTCCCTGCCGTTACTGTGGAGACCCGAAGTCATTGGCTGTGTCTCTCCGCGAACCGAGTCGACTCCTCCTAGCGAGATGTACGTGCGCGTCTCGGCATATATATATAGTTGGTATATATATAATATATATCTCTCTCATTGATACACTCCGCCACGTGTAGCCTGTAACGGACTGTTGGGGCAAAAGCTGTTAGCGAGCGCCTATGACGGCAAGCCCGCCTGTGCACGACGAGTGATTGATGTGACTGACAACCCACGATCTTTGTCTCGCGACCAAGCTGTCCAATGCTGTTGTTGTTCCTTCCTCTCGCAGGAATGCGTACCTCGTGTTGTTCGGCACGATGTCCGACGTTTCGCTCCACGTGCTGGGAGCTTCTTCGGGAACATGAAATTGAGCAGTTCGCTGTCTCGCTCGATTTACGCGGCTCTGCTTGCCCGAGCTCAGCCGTCTGGCAGAAATGAATTTGCGTTTGTAAACGCACGCACGCGCGCGCGCGCACGCACACGGCCACGTGCGGGCACGCGCAGCTCACCTCACACACGCGCACACGCGCAAGACGACTCCAGCGACGGCAACTCATTGTCGGAGACGTCAGCGCGGCGCTTGTGCCAAGCTGGGTGCACTTTGAGGGCATCGGGTGAGACGTGGCGGGCTCATCCGCAGGAGGTTACGAAACAGAGGCAGGTGTCATCAGGGTTCACTGAGACGGACGGATGCATCGCCGGTGGTGTGTTTTATGTGCACGGCGCTCCGCTCGCTGTTGTGAGGATCGCTCCTCTGCCCTCCGTTGTTGTTGTTGTTGGAGGGCGACTGCCTCCAACTGCCCAGTAAGCAGCGTCCTTCTCGAGCCTCCCCCTCCACAGAGGCCGATCTTGACACCGCTGGTAACAGCAGTCTTGCGGACATGTAAACACACACCCACGCACACGCGCGCACAAGTGCACAAAGCACCCGATTACACAGCCCATACAAAAACCCAGATACCCACCCACACAAAAAGGTACGTAAATACAAAGAGAGACGCGCACACAACAACAGCCGCCTATGGGCACTAAGTGGCGGGGACTTCACAACAGAGATTGTGCCCGGCGAGGTACACTTTGAGGCCACGTGAAGCGTTCAATGCTCACTGCTTGGCAAGAGGTCACCAGACAGACTCGGGTGTTATTCGTTGACCGCCTGAGATTCACACACTCACCCAACACGCATAAAACACCAACTCACCCACGCACACTGATATACACACGCCAACACACATACGCAAGCAACGATACAGATTCTCTCTACATAGCCTGCACAGCCTATTGGGGCTGGTTCTGTTAACGAGCACCTACAAAGGCCGGCACGACACCGCGAGTGGGTGGCGTGGCCAGGACCACGCCCGGCCGCCTTTGTCTCCCCAGTCCCGATAGTTACACATCGCACCAGGTACTAATTTAAGGCTGAGTCGACCTAGGGGAGGTCCAGGACTTATTTTGATATCACTAGCCACATTTGTTAGCCGCGTCTGGGGAATCGAACAAGAGCCGCCAGGTTCGTTCCACGGTGCCTCAACCACTGCGCCACCCTTCTCCATCAATGAGGTACCCAGCTAAACAAAATTCGGAGGCGGAATTGCTTCCCACTGACATACAAATTCACTCGGTTTTCGGGAGACAACATTGATCACGTTCTCACGATGTAATATTTAACGTCTCCACAATTAAATATACATCAATAATAATTATTTGCAATTGTTCATGAATGAAACATCTCATAAATGGTCGGTGACTGATAACGGTCGTATAAAATGTTCGGGGGAGGGGTTCCAACCGCCCCCTTTTTGCCCCCACCCCCCACGCTCAGATGCGCCTCTGACACACTCGCAAACAAAATCAGCACAACGACAAAGATCCCCCGTATAGCCTTCACAGCCAGTCGGGGCAAGTGCTGTTGGCGAGGACCTTGGGGGTGGGTGTTCAGCACCACGCCAGGCCGCCTTTGTCTCCCTAGTTGCGCGCACGCATTTATGCACCCCATATACACACGACATTAAACACGCATTGACACACGAGACAGATACTGTCAGCTAGCACCACTGAACGGCCAGCACAAGGGAAGGGGGTGGTGTGGGCAGCACCACCCCCGGGCCGCCTTTGTCTCCCTCATGTTTTCACATACGGCATGAGGTGCTCATGTCAACTGAGCATAGGCCAGGGGTCGGCAGCTTGCGGCTCCAGAGCCGCATGCGGCTCTTTAAGGACCGCATCGCGACGTTTTTTATTGAGGACCGTCTCGTATTCACCACATGTATTGCGGCTCTTGAAATATTGAGTTTTTTTACTGAATTCGGAAAACAAATTACTCCATCCTTTTTTTGTTTTCACATCTCTGGCAGATAGACATACACACACACATGTACCTGTAGAATAATAATATAAGAATTGTTCCGTTCCACATCGCATGCCTTTGTGAAGAGGCTGGCCGCATGGCTCTCGGAATGCTATAATTGGCACCACAAATATCAGCAGCGGGAGAATCGCAAGTGATGGTGTGCAAGTCTGTGGCGCTCACGTGACATCTTCTATACCGCTTGTGGTGTGCGATTCTGTGACCATCACGCTAAGATGAAGATCCCCCATATCGCCAATTCACAGGCTGTTGGGGCAAGTGTCGTTACGCAAGCCTGGAGGTGGGTGGCCAGCACCACGCAGGACCGCTCTTGTCTCACTAGTGGCGATGTTTGTACACCGCACCAGGTATTAATTTGAGGCTGAGTCGACCTAGGGGAGGACCAGGACCGGTTCAGATAATCGTTGCTGGTGTTGGTGGCCTAAGCAGGAATCGAACTCGGTTCGCAGGGTTAGGAGCGCAGTGCGCTCACCGCTACACTACAGCTCCCTGTGCAAACATAGACACAGACCCACGCTCTTTCTCTACCACACACCCATCATTAGAGTCAGAATTTGACAATTAAGAGCGCAAATATTTTAGGAAATAAATAGATGCTACGTAGTAATGTTTCATTATTACTTTTAATATATACGCACTACTTATTCTCAATCGCGTTCTAAGATTATAAAGCGATGTTTGTTTATTTTGTTTAGATAATGCACTTCCCGCTGATTTTGCTAAGCCTATTGAAATTCATGTAAATTAACTCCATACCTTATCTGCACGTAAATGTATACGTATATGTAGATCAGTTTAACACGTAGGCTTTCGCGACCAATATTATTCATAATAAAGGTTTTTGGGTTAGATCGCGTTTATTTATAAATGTGTCGTAACCCTCCACCACCCGACACGGCCAATCAGCAAAAAAGTGTCACGTTGACAAAAGACAAATAATTTTGTTTTTTGCTGATTGGCCGTGTCGGGTGGTGGAGGGTTACGACACATTTATAAATAAACGCGATCTAACCCAAAAACCTTTATTATGAGTATATGTAGATATTGTATAAAAGTCCATCAGCCTGTTGGCTTTCCAGACCATTCTCTCCGGACCGGTTTACACCTTATCGATCTCATCAGCTTTAAATCAAAATGCTGCCTGGTTCGTAAATGTTATTGGCAAGGGCACTCACTCTAAACGACAGAGCCATGTTGAACTTAGAAAAAGCAATAATTCAAATCTGTAAAATAGCAATATTGTATCCACACCCAGGATGCATTGCTCTGGATCATTATCGGTAAAATAATTGAAATGCGGGTCTCCCTTGTAAGACAGGCTGCGGGTCCCCCCTGGGTTCCAACCTGGTTACAAATACAAGGTCACCTATCTACACGGAAGCATAAATATGCATTTGCCACATACTAGCCTAGAGCGTGTCTATAAATCACATCGTATTTGTGTGTGTGTGTGATAGAGAGAGAGGTGCGGTGGTATTGTAATCAGCACACCGCACTACATTCGGGATGGCAGCCTGGCCTGCGTGACGGTCAACCCATCTATTGGCAATCGTCGCCTCTTATCCTGCTTAGCACTCGGAGATCTGACAATAGACAATCGCCACGCCGTGACGGTCACGGTGCTAATTTGGCCATACTTCACCACGCTGGTCAGTGCGGGTTGCTGAAGGCGGGGGAGCATAGCAGTTGGCGCATAGTACGGTAGAAGAGAACTTAACGTGACGGTCTGTGTCTGTCGCGTTAAGTGAGGCCAGAGCGCTGGGACGAAACAGCTGAGAGCCTGGGTTAAAATCCAGGCAGGTGCTTGTGATTAAACTGGCTTCTCGAGCGTAGTGAGTTGACTACGGTCTCAGCCTGGTTAAGAATGTCATAACAGCAATTTTTGTTTCAAGAGAAATGCGGTTCCGCACTGCATTTTTATACATTGCGGCTGTGAGAAAATACAACATACCGGCTGTG